CATCAACGCCTAGCCCATCCCTCAGAATCTGTGTTGTCTACGTTGTTCCCTAGTTTATGCAAATCCTCCCTTGTATGTGAAATTTGTCATTTGTCAAAATCTACTAGACTCCAATTCAATTCTTCCATGTCTAGGACTAGCAAGTTGTTTAAGATGGTGCACTCCGATGTTTGGGGACCTGCACCTCTAGAGTCTTTTGATGGTTATAGGTACTACGTTATCTTTGTTGATGATTTCTCAAGAGCCACTTGGTTGTACCTCCTAAAATTCAAAAGTGAAGTTATGGATGCTTTCAAGGACTTTCATAATCTTGTCATGAACCATTTTTCGTCCCAAATCCACATACTAAGGTCTAATAATGGCACTGAATATACATCCAAAAATATGACTAACTATTTGAGCACCCATGGAATTATACATCAAACAAGTTGTGTAGGTACTCCTCAGCAAAATGGAATTGCCGAAAGGAAGAATAGGGATCTACTTGAAAAAACCAGGGCGCTAATGTTGCAAATGAATGTGCCTAAGAGGTTTTGGTCTCAAGGAGTTCTTGCAGCCACCTACCTTATCAATAGACTGCCTAGTCGTGTTCTGGATACAAAATCACCATCTGAGGTTATGCAAAACAAAAAAATTAATGTTTCCCATCTGAGAATCTTTGGATGTACCTGTTATGTTCATATTCAATCCCATCACCGAGACAAGCTTGATCCCAAAGCTGTCAAGTGTGTTTTCATGGGATACTCCTCCACCCAAAAAGGGTACAAATGCTACAATCCGTGCTACAGGAAGATGTTTGTCTCAAGAGATGTACGGTTTGATGAAAACCAACCATATTTCAACAAATCATCAGATCAAAATCGTCAGGGGGAGCATTTCCTAGATCTCTTCCCATTGCCAAATCCAGTCGAACCAAGTGACTGTGTCCATTCACTACCTCACAACCGGGACTCTCATGCAACTCTTAATGACAACCTGCTTATTGGAGACGACACTGAAGCCTCAAAAGCACAAGTAGTTCCCCATGACCATAACACAACATCTATACAAAAGAGTGGAGCTGAACCTATTGTGATCCCAGCTCAACCCCGCAGGAATCCGACTCGAGATCGACATCCACCATCAAGGCTGCAAGACTATGAAACTTACCATGCAAGGTACCCTATTCGCAAGTTTGTAAATTACTCCAAAGTCTCTCACTCTCATGCAGCCTTCCTCAGTAAACTGTCCTATGAAAGTGAACCAAGGAACTTTCAAGAAGCCAATCATCAAGTTGTGTGGAGGCTAGCCATGGAAGAAGAACTCAAAGCCTTGAATGAAAATAAAACCTGGAGTGTAGTTCAACTCCCCAAAGGCAAGAAGGTGGTAGGCAGTCGGTGGGTTTATAAAATCAAGTTTAATTCTGATGGCTCAATTGAACGACACAAGGCAAGATTGGTGGCTCGCGGTTTTACTCAAACTTTTGGAGTGGACTATAAGGAGACATTTGCTCCCGTGGCTAAGATGAGCACAATAAGGGCTTTGTTATCTGTTGCAGTGAACCATGAATGGCCATTGTACCAAATGGATGTAAAAAATGCTTTTTTACATGGAGACCTCGAAGAGGAAGTCTACATGCAACTACCCCCGGGTCATCCACAAGCACAGAATTCAGGTATGGCTTGCAAGCTTCATAAGTCAATCTATGGCTTGAAACAATCTCCTCGTGCCTGGTATGCCAAACTGGGCTCGGTACTTGAAAATTTTGGGTTCAAGAGAAGTCATGCTGATTCCTCCCTGTTTGTTCGAATAGGATCAGTTGGCAAATTAGTTGTACTAATCTATGTTGATGATATCATCATCACAGGTGATAACATTGATGAGATTCACACTCTTAAACATTCTCTTCATCAACAATTTGCCATTAAAGACTTAGGAGTTTTAAAATACTTCCTTGGGATTAAACTGGCCACTTCCCCCAAGGGACTTTTTTTGAGTCAAAGGAAATATGTGATTGACTTACTTCAAGAAGTGAAGATGATAGATTGCAAACCAACTCGTACTCCTCTTGATAGCAAATTGAAGTTGGACTTGACAGGAGAACCTCTCAGTGATATCAGTTACTACCAACGATTGGTGGGTAAGCTTATATATCTTACCATCACCAGACCGGATATAACTTACGCCGTCAGTCTTGTAAGCCAATTCATGCATGCACCCACTGAAGCTCATTTAAATGTTGTTAAAAGAATTCTTAGATACCTCAAAGGCTCCATTGGTCGGGGAATCGTCATGAAAAACAATGGTCATACTCAAATCATTGCCTACACCGATGCTGACTGGGCAGGGAATGCTATTGATAGAAAATCCACTACTGGCTACTGCACGTTGGTTGGAGGAAACCTCGTGACATGGAAGAGCAAAAAACAAAATGTAATTGCTCGCTCAAGTGCCGAAGCTGAGTATAGAGCCATGGCTTCCACTGCATGTGAACTCATTTGGCTCAAGGGCCTTTTCTCGGACTTGGGGTTCTCAATCAATACACCTATGTCTCTTTTCTGTGACAATCAAGCAGCTATGCATATTGCCTCCAATCCGGTGTTCCATGAACGCACCAAACACATTGAAGTTGACTGTCACTACGTTCGGGAACAAGTCCAGTCTAAGGTAATTCAAACAACATTCACTCGAAGCCAAGATCAACTTGCTGATATTTTCACAAAGTCTCTTGCTTCTCCTCAGTTTCAAAGTCTGCTCTCCAAGCTTGGATCAATTAACCTCCTTGATCTAGCTTGAGGGGGAGTATTGGAAGAACAAGCCGTCCTAAGCCGTCCTACCTTGTCCTACCTACACACTTGTATCCCTTAATTTAGGGTGATTGGACATAAGCCTTCCCGTTTTTTATGTATATATATCCTTGTAATCTTGTAGAGAAACATAATGAGAAAAAGTATTCTCTTTCATATTTTCCACACACCCCGACCTCACCACCTGCCTCTACCACACCCACCTCGACCTCGTCCTCTTCTCCCTCACCTAGTCCCGCTCCTTCCTCGAAGAAAACCCACCTTAGGATTCCAATTGAATTTTCAAAAGGAAGCAGCTTTTGGTACCAAAAGCAGAATTAGACGAAGAAAGGAAGCAAAGTTACTTGAAAGGCAAAAGCAGCTGTTGAAAAAAGCCGGTGGCTTAGTGAAGCATTCAAACAATTTTCCAGGTTAAAACCCACCCAAAAGATACTCAATTTTCACAAATCGTCAACAAAGAGAATTATTCTTGGAAAAAAGCAGAAAATTAAACGACCCCAAGAAAGAGTGAAAATTAAACGACCCAAAATTCCAAAGAAGCCAACTTTTTGCATTCCCAACTGCACAAATGTTGGAAATTTCTATCAAGAATCAAAGCCTTTCACCGCACCACAATCTCATCACTCTCTCTTTCTCTCTCTAACTTTGACTCAATCTACAAACTTCCACACCAATAATCAGGTAGGCTGGATTTTTAGTTGTGTTGAATTCAAATTGAACGTTAGGGTAGAGATTGTTGGAACTGTACTTCTTCCAGAAGAGAAAGGGCTTGATGTGGAGGTGGAAGGAAGGGAAGGAGAACAGGTAAGAGAGGGGGATCGAAGGAGTGGCAGAGGAGGTTGAAGTCGAGGGAGCGGCCGAGTAAGGAGCGAGAGCAGGTGAGGGAGAAAAGGGCAAGGTCAGTGTGGTAGAGGCAGGTGGTGAGGTTGGGGTGCCCGGAGATAGGCGATGTCGTTGGATGGACTGGGGAATAAGGGTGAGGGTGATGGGTTTTTATGGGTGGGTTTCACAATTTTTTTAATAAAAATATTTAAATGATTTTAGTTTTAATTTTTTTTTAATATTTAATTAATTTTTAATTTAGTTGAGCTACGGAATGGGTATGTCTCAAGCTACGTTCGAAATTAACAGAAAAACTAATGAAGGTTTGACATTGCATCCAATTCATAAATGAGGTATGACATTATAATTTTAAAAATATTAGGTATGAGATTATGGTTCAATGCATAATCGAGATAGTTTTATTTAATTTACTCCAAGAAGAATGAATAGACACAAATTACAGTTTCATGTCTGTGTATAATATTTTTATTTTACAGTGATACAAATAATTTTTTTATTATATAATTTACAAGATACAATTAAGAAAACAATATTATTTTTGGGACAAACAAATCACTAATATTACAGTTCAAACTATTAAATACCAAAGCTACATATAAGAATCATCTATATATGCTGATATATGGAACATGAAAGAGAAATCTCACATGAGAAGGTATAGCACAACTAAGCTATACATAGAGTAAGTGATACCTACGTGGCCATCAAGTCCCACATCACTTGGGTGAAGGAAAGTGATGTGCTTTATATGTGCACATCCCATCTCTCTAATCAAAATGTCACATTCTATCCTAAATTTAATCATAATTTACTGCCTTGATGCTAGGAAATTACGAAAATGCCTCTGATAGGCTCGTGGAAATCCTACACGTAAATTCTACATTTCCAATGAGGGCCAAAATAGTAATTTTATACTTTCAATAATTCATTACTTGTTTATTGAGACAACATGAGGTTGTCGATATTACGAGCTGCAACCTGTAATATCAATGGTTTATTCATTGGGATCGTTAAGCAAGTGGGCAAGTAGGACCGTCCCTGTTAGTATTTTATTAATTAGGCCTCATGCCTAATTAATTATCGTTTGGGCTTGACCCAAAGACACACACACTTGTATCCTCATAGTACTCGTCACCATGATTGCGTGGACGCAAGCCAAACGGAATCCAGAGCTACGACGAAGATTCTACGGAACTATGAAGTTGAAAGGCATTTTAGTAATCTCACTATTTCAGATATTTTCCCCTCTATTATTTTAATATTAGTTTTGTTGAGTGTGTGTGCCATGGGACCTACCCACGTGACCCACTTGTCTGCCCCAACCTTCCCTATATAAACTCTTCATCACTATCCGTCTCTTTCACATAACATCCCTCTCTACCTCCCTCAGACTCTTCTATCTCTACTTCCCTTATCTCTCTCTCCTTATCAACCTAAATGCATAAAACACAGACGGTGCTTTGCCTCCGTTTCCGTCTAAACCCTTTAAACCCTGCTACCAGCCTCACGATGAGGTCTCTACCACCCTCCCCCAATCAGTTCAAGACACCTAGATGATAGATCTGAGGCCTTGAACTAAAGTTTTCTGACAAAATTTCATCGTTACAAGCAAAAAGAACACCTTTGGGAGCTTCCCCCCTCCCCGATTTTTTCGACGAGGCACCAAGACTCTCAGGCTATTTAAAGTCATCTCAGGCCACCAACTGGCCACAGGATAGGTATAATCTCGTTCTTTATTATTTGAGCTTCAATTTGGTATCTTGTTTGCTGAAAATGGTTAAGTTTCTAGAAATTTACCCAGATTCCAGCCACCCACATACTTCGCAAAGAAGGCAAGTATAGCCATACTTGTAGGCGCATAGGTGCGCGTGGGATATGTAGTGCTTGGCACGTGGAGCACACATGCCTCTTATTGAAGGTATTACGCTCCACTGCCATCCATGACAGATTACGGCAACACTCTGACGACTAAAAATCGACGTGTGTCGTCCCGGGGCACTGCCCTGTGGTAGCATGTGGAGAAACTCGAGGTCACTCCTTAGTTTTCTCGATGTACCGAAACCGAATGCTGTCCGTTTTCGCAAATTCCACCGTTTTAATATAGTTTCTCCAATAGTTGTACTTTGTATAAATACGCAAATTTATGTTTGTGCGTGGTATTGACATTAGTGGTTTCATATTTAGGTAAAACGAGTTCCAAGGAACTTCGAAACCTGTAAGGGGGTTTCAACTTGATGAAATGATTGTGAGTGGGTCTTTTTGTTTTTATGCATATCATATATATAGTTTTTCCATAACTATTGTGGCATGCCATGTTTGGCTTACAAATGAACTTTTCATACACTTTACGTTTATTATATTATTTTAAACATAAACATGTGGAATGACATTCTTATATCATATATGTTCATTTTATTGTCTTTGCACCAATGTCTATTAGTTATTGTACTGGTCTGGGCGTAGGAGCCATGTGTATTTCACATGCCCCGTTTACATTCGCTTTAGATCCAAAGTTAGTTGTCAGCATGTCCTTAGGTTAAATGATTGGACTTGTATGTGATAGAACTAGCACAACTTCACATGTTGTTGTACTAGAATGTAAAACCTACACCCAGCTTGTTCCATTGTCAAGATACCTCTGCAATGGCCTTGTGTTCCATCATTAGATAATGAGCATCGGTTTATTTGTGATGGTGATTTGAGATTGATGAGATATATGTTTATATGTACCCTATACCTTTTGACAAACTATCAACCAGCAACTATACTCTATACTAGTATTATAATATTTTTGAAACCATATACTTGTTTTACAGCGAAGGGTTACACTTTTCGAAAAGGTTCTTAAAAAATCATTATTTTTAGGCCTACTCACCTTTGTTTTTCACCTATCCGGGAATTTTAATGGCAGAGCTCTTATGATGACAAAGATTATTGGCAAAATAATTAGTTACTACGTTCCAGGTGTCAGCCAACACATCTTGATTTGAATGTCCAGTTGGACATCTCGGGTCAGAGTGTGTCACATTCTAATTTCAAAATACGCCTAAAAGCGACATATAGCAGCAGAAAGTAGCAATACAATAATACATAATATACATCAGATATTTAGCTTACACAAAGTTACAATAAAGGGTAACAAACCCTAATTTTGAGTTCATTATCCATAAAAGCTATACCACTTGAAATTCTCTTCTCTAACTACTACTTATACTCTGCATAAAACAGTCCTATACTGTGGGAATGGTGAGGTAAACAAATAGGATGTAGGGTTTTAGATGCACTCAATGGAACTGAACAAAATGTCAAACAACCCTACATTGTGGGAATGGTGCACCGAACAAAGAAAATAAGATGTAGGGCTTCAAATGCACTCAATAGAACCAAACAAAATGTACGAATTTAGATGCACTCAATGATGTCCATACATAAAGTATTAACAGGATTCCTTACGTTATAACAAGAGAATTTCATATGCAAAATATATAGTCATCACATAATATTAAAGTCACTCACCTGGATTTCTATGCACTTCCAAAATTAATACAATTGAATCATTACGTAAAATGATGTGCACATCACTATGACGTCACATGTTCCAGATGAACTAACAATTCTCTTATAGAACTTACGCCGACCCCAAAAATGATCAGAAGATGATTAAAACCACCGATAAATTAAGCCGCGGTGCCCAAAATTTCTGAAAACCGCCATCTCAAAACCTACTATATTGGGGTTGAACTGAGAGTTTCTATGGCTAAATTCGAAAACTCTAGTGACCTCAAGGCGAAACTGACACCACTAGGATGTCGAGCTCCTTGAGGTCTTTTGTGGACACCAAAATTACCCAACGATAGCTAGATGAGGGAGATATGTTTGGGTCAAAATTCGGATTCCAATCGGGTCGGGTTGACCTGATATCTACAAAATGGGCCTCCAAAGCTAAGGTTTCTGTTTTGGGAAAGTCTAGGTTCTTTGAAATTTCTGAAATCCAATTTCTGTTGATAGCATATGGCAAAAAGGCCAAAATGTTGTTCGACTTAAAATGCTTCTAACTTCTTCATTTTAACATGGAATTGGGTGTTGTTTGCACATACTTTAGACCTAGCAAAGATTAGATGATGAGGTTGTTGGAGTTATGCCCTAAAAGCCATTTTATGGAATATTGGATATTATGTAATAATTTCACATTAATTAATTTACAAAAGGAAAAATTTTATTCATTCATGAGTTTTGACTTTATATTGTAGTGATAATATGCTATAAATGAGTCCATGAGATTTCAGGTATAAAAGCAATGTCCTAAATGAGGTTCGGGTAGGGAGACTTGCATTCCATAGTCACTTAGTCCTTACATAAAGTTCCTAACTGTTTGAAAATCATTGAACACTGACTATCCCAAAAAACCGGTGCATATTGTATTAAGGTTAGCATGTTCTTGTGCTATGCATGCTAGATACGTGGTGGATATACATGTGCTTGTCTCTTGAACAAGTTCACTGAACACTGATTGTCCAAAAAACTTAAACGTATGGATGCTTACCACATATTAAATGTTACAAAGCATCTAGTTTTAATATGCAAATAATTATTAAACATGAGGCATCAAATGTGTCATATATTTGTAGATATGAACTTTGATTTCACCTTAAAGTCCTCAATGAGATCGCAGGGCCAGAGTGTGTGATATTCAGGTTCATATGCATAAGTGTGAAGGTACATGAATTCGAAATAAGGAACCTATCACCTTCTAGTAATTGTTCAATAGAAGGAGATATCCCTCGAAGCCACTTAAAGATCCATCTTGAAAATCTATGGGTAGAGTAAGTGCTAATCAAGCTATATTTGTAAGAATTGCTTCAACATGAGATGCATCGTGGCAATCATAGATGACTTTATGTGATTGACATAATTCCATATCACAAAAATCTTGAACGGGATATGGATGATAAAATAACCGAATTGCATTGTAATTACAATCAAGGTTCGAAAAAGTATCATGATTAGTTCGCATATACTTCTACTAAACCGGGTTGCCATGACATATTGCTAGGTGTCACTACTTTGTACAATTAAATTACTTAATTAATTAATTTCACTACCGACTTTAGTTAGAACCTAAGAGGTCACACACATATGATAAGTTCTAGTAACGTTATATGGATGATTGTAAGATGTAATTAATTGTTAATTATTTGGGCTTATTGAACATGTTTTTAATTAAATAGGAATTGGGTTTTATTGAATTAAAAGGGATCCAAGTCACATACACAAAAAAGGGTAATGAGTGGGCATTGTGTGGAGCCAAAAATAATCCCAAAAATCCTGAAGGCGACACATGAATTTTTGGACAAGAAAGGCTAGATTACCCTCGTTAGATGGACGAGGCACACCCGAATTCCCACGTGCATGCAACGACCAATAACGGCTCAAGATTCCCTCCATCCAAGGAAGAGTCAAATGTGATTATTATGGAATTTATTCAATTTCCACTTATCATTCCCTCATTGATTTCATTCAATAAGATAAGTCCTAAAATCACTTATTTAACTTAGAATAATTACCATAGTAATTTCAAGATATTATTTCACATAATATCAATTTCACTATATATGGCCAGCCACACTCCTATAAATACCTCACTTATTCCACTAAAATACTAAGTAACTCGCCAAACCCCAAGTAGGGTGCAACTAAAGGGGATAACAAGGAGTATATACAAAATTGAAGTTTTGTCCCTCAGAGGAAAAAAAAGAAGGGAAAACTTAAAGCCAAAACACATTGTGTGCCACCCATCCTACAATGATCTAAGTGAGGGATATTGCTAGCACATCAAATTGTTCACTCCATCATATGTTGCTAGTTTTATTAGTCTGAATACTCTTAGAGGCTCAACACTTCGGGAGCTTCGCATGATCAATCATGAAAAGGAAGATTGCAAGCATAGGGATTATTCAATCAAGTGGCATGCACGTGACTAGAGATTCAAGTTAGTTAATCTCTACGACTTCTTAATTTGTTGCTTTATCAATTACAACCAACCAGATATATAAATGGGATAAAATATTGTATCTTATTTATTATTTTTTGCCACGTATTTAATTATTCGAATTAAATTTATCTCGAAAATATGCTTAGAATTCCAACATAGGCTTCAAGTGAGGCACTCATGCAATGTTCAAGGGATTGGAATCGTGTCGAGTTCGAATCCCATTTGCAGAGGTGTGATTAACAGTTTGGCCATCATGCGAGGCGTCTGTGCTCGGATCAACAACTTCTGCTGGGGTTGAAGTAGTTGGCATGATTGGTTGCCCATATGGGGTTATGGTATTTCAATTCGCATAATTGAAAATAGGAATATGTATTTTGGATTGTAGGTCTTCTACAATTTGTCACATATATGTTGATCTTCAGCAACGTTCCCCAAATCTGATCTATGGTGGGAATGGTTCCAATATTGTGAGCATCATCATTCTCTAGGATGGTTGGAGAATCAAGGGCCCGATTTCTCACATTAAGAGTAGTAAAGACGTTAGGAAGTGAATTATTCCCACTGGAAGGGTAGAGGAGTCAAGAAGTGGGTTATTTCCTGTCGAGGTGTTAACATCAGCATTAACTGAGCCTTCTATTACAGATATGGTTCAGGTACAGTTATTTGGTCAAGGGAATATGAGATCACTTTTAATGAAAACACCAATTGTTATAACCAAATTTGCACAATGCCGTGAAGGGTGGATATGCACAATCTCAATTACCTGTACAACAACAAACAACCGTAAGTAACCTAAGGACCAGTGAGGTGTCGGTTAAAGGGTCTCTGACAATCAGGTTAGTAAGAAATATTTGAGACTCAAACAATAGGCAAGAAAATAAGTACGTGATAATTGCATTATCCAAGATGAACCTTAGAATGGTGTATTTATACGAGTTGAGATAGAGTCCTTTTAGGATATAGAGTTCATATTAAACCAGGAGAATTCCAGAGGATATATAGGAGTATGATTACTTGTGACGGACGTCAAAACCTTAGATTATAGGTGATAGGAGCATATTCATGCGACTTAAACGGCTTGTTCTCGTGCATTTACGTTATGTTTCTCTAGTTATTTTAATCCTTTATGCTTCTTTTGTGTGTTTTCAGGTTCTAAGGGCTTAAGGAAGAAAAAAGATGCATTTTGGAGCATTTTGGAGCAAAATTGGGCTTGGAATGGATGGCATATGATTGGAGCCAAAATGTTGGACGAATTTGAAGGCCTTGTATTCATTTTGGACATAAAACAAAGGGCCTAGCCCATTCTCTCTTAAACCAAGCCCTTTGCCATGCATTTCCTTCCAATTCCAAAAGCCCACAATCAATTCAAATGCCATGCAAATCCATATTCAACACCCTAAACTACAAGCATGCATCATCTCACC